GCTTAATTCCCCCTAGCAAAAGCAATTTCATTATACAAAAAATTCAAATCCTACTTGATCTTTTGTTTGAAGTGGCAACATAAGCTTTTCAGCTTATAGTATGTGAAGCGCAGGGGGTAAGAGAAGTACACAAATTCTTCATCACTGAATTCTAGAAAGAAATTACGTCCTAAATCTTAATTGGGGAACTGATGAAAATATTACAGCAAAGGGCAGAGCTCAAACTTACTATGTTGTTATATGTTAAGTCGGAAATGACTCATAATTAACTCTCCTTTGGGTTTTCAGAAGCTGTAAATCACACAGGAGGAGATTACCCTTTCTCTTCTGGAATAGCTTGTGGGCTGAACTGCCTACCTCTGGACTGACAGTACAGCTCCTTACCCATGAGGCCACCAAACTTCCTTCAAGCTTAACAGTACACAAAGATACTCTAGAACAAGCAAGCATTCCTGGAAGCCACCATGCTACAAATTATCCAATCCCTTGAGAGTAGGTTCTCACAAGTCTTCTGTGTGACTTGGTTCTACAAATCTGTGAGAACTGGCTTGAAAGACTCTACAAAGATGGTGCCAAAAGCAAAGGAAACCCGACTTTCCCAAAAGTGAAGCCAAAGCAAAGGCGTCAAAAGTCAACAAGGCAGTCTTAAAGGTAATGCAGAGCCACAAAAAAAAGATTGGCATGTCACCCACCTTACAGTGGCCTGAGATGCTGAGACTCCAAATACCCCCAGAAAAGTGCCCCCAGAAAAAACAAGTTTCCCCTGACCACTGAGTCAGCCATGAAGATAGAAGATAACCACACACTTGTGTTTACTGTAGATATAAAGGCCAACAAGCACCAATCAAACAAGCTGTAAAGAAACTCTATGACACTGATGGGGCCATAATACCTTGATTATGCCTGATGGAGAGAAGGGCTATGTTCTGACTGTGATGCTTTAGATGTTGCCAACAAATCTGGGTTCATCTAAATGGGGTCCAGCTGTATGGGAAGCCAACCTTTATACCAAATATTATGTGAAAATACTTGTTCAGGAACTGAAGGAATTACAGATTTATAAGTTAGGATTTCTCTTGTGGCAGATCATAGAAAATGAGCTGTTTGTTCCCTGCAGACAGGAGACAGCAAGGGGCCCCCTACAGAGGGAGTGTTACTTCCTGAGCTAGAGCTCACCCTGAGGCATCAAGGCAATCCTTAAGGGTAAACCAAATTCTTGCATTTGTGAGCCCCTCTCTCCTGAGTCAAGCAGGTGGTTTTCAATAGAAAGAGCTTGGCTTCATTTGCATTGAATTCTCTCTGTGATTTGCTTCCTGATAATTTTCAATAAAGATACAGAGAAGCTTGACTTGGGGTCTTCAGTCTCAAACTGCTTGACACACACACACACACACACACACACACACACACACCGTTTTATGCTCTATCTCATTCCTGGCTGTTTGTCTCATTACTATTACCAAATTATTTCATTCTTTGGGACCCTCGGTCTGCAACACAGCTGGCTAAGTCAAAACAGCAATTTTTTTCACACACAAAAATTGTAAGTGCTAAGACAAATATTGCATAGGGCCACTGTTGTAAAACAACACTGACATCGGGGTTGATGGAAGACAGAAATGGAGGGAAGAAATGATGTATACTGCATTGAAACAGATGAGGGAGAGAACTGTTTAAAAGGGATATATGACTGGGTATTATTGTTACAGAAGTTCAGAATAAAGGCTGCATAGTGGAGTGGAGGGGGGTGCACTCGGACGAGACTGCAGAACAATGAAAGAGTTTTCCTTTTATTTTTCAAGAAAAAGAGTGAATTGGAGGGAAGAGGGGAACAGGAAGAAAAGTGCAATAATGAATGACTGGAAACCCTAAGTCTCTGTAAACTTTCATTAAAATTAATTAAAAAAAAATTTAAGTGCTTTCTGGGAAAGCTTTTATTGTTTTTGGTTGAACCATCTGATCTTCAGAGCAGATGATAATTTACTGTGCTAAAATCTGAAACTGGCACTAGCTTCATTTTAGTAAAAAACTAAGCAGCTGCCTGTGGATAGAATCAAATATGCAATCCTACATTTTCAATTTTCCAAGGCTCAGAAGTTTCTGAATGGCAGGATTTGTAATGTTTCTGTATTACCAGAAAATAATTGCACATATACTTCTAGCATAATATTTTAACTCACCATTTACCACGCTGAAATTTCTGATGCTTGTCCTGAATTCTTAAGGCCTGTAACATTCTAAAGACAGAACAAAGAAATTCCTCTCAAGTTTCTCTTAAAATTTACCTTTATGCTTATGAAAGAACTATTTCTAGTACCATCAAATTTGATTGCTAATTTTACTTCTTTAAATACAACAACAAAGGGAGCTCTGGTGGCCTAGTGGCAAGAAGCTGTACTGCAATCCCAGAGATAAGGGGTTTGAATCTACCAGATGCTCTGCTGGAGGAGGGACAATCTCCTCCTGTACCAGTCAGATCCGATTTGACTGTACACACACACAAAATAAAAACTAAATTAAAAATAAATACAACAAAAAAAAAAAACAAAACATAGGACTAGCAAATCTTTTATCTCAGAAAAATAGACTGGCATATTTCTCTACAACTAACGCAAAACTTTCTGACACTAGAAAAGGATTAAACTCCCAAGTCAAGAGTGACTTTTATGTTGATAAACAAAGATGAATTTTACGGATTACTAACGGGAACTTTTGACATTTAAAAATGCAAAGCACTGATCCTCTGGTAGTTAGTTCAACTTTGTTCAGGACGGAGGGTTGTCACAGTAGGATCTTCAATCTAACAGTCAAAAAAAATGTAAGCTCATCCCCATTTCAAATCTTAGTTGAAGCTGGACCATTTCACAACTTCCACAGACAAGGATCCTTCGGGTGTGCGCAGCATGACGTATAGAAGCTGCATTAATAAAATAATTAGTTCCTAACGTCAAGGAAAGAAATACTGTTGAAGGGTCTTCTAGGATTAACATTCCCTTCCCTTCCAGCACAAAGCACCAGAAGGTGAATGAGGAGTCGCTGCCTTTGCAAGGCCAACAGAGCTCGGTTTCCCAAGCAAGGCAGCGCCTTCACCAAGCACCCACCCCGCACCTGGGCCCGAGCTCACCGCATTCTCTGAGGTCTTGTAACTTCACCCCTCTCGCACGGGATTGGGTCCGCAATTCAAATGGTAAGGCTGTTTAGTTCTCCCCAGGCCCAACCCACAGCGACCAGGGGACGTCACCAGGGGATCCGGAATAGAAAGGGCCCAGCCTGCAACCTTGCCCTCGATGCGAAGATGCCCGCCCGCCACTCTTTGGAGGCGCCGCAGGGCCGCCACCCAAGAGCAGGACGCGCGCCCCAAAGTCCGGGGTCGCGGGCGGCCGCGCGCCCCGGAGAGCCGCTCTTGCCCAAAGGCCGCAGCTCTAGAAGCTAATATCCGGGCCGGCCACGCGCACGTCGGCGGCCACGCGCACCGGGAAGGCCGCACAGCGCGCGCGCCCCCGCGTGTACAAACAGGCCTTGCCAAGCACGAGAGCGCGCGCCGCGCCCACCCGAACCGTCGGAGGGCCCTTCCCCCACGGACGGAGCAGGGGCGCGCGGACCCAGGGACGTTCTGGACTCCAGAGCTGCCCGAGGTCTCCAGGGCCCAGCGGCAGCGATACGCTCGCCCCCGCCCGCCGTTGTGTGGGGTGGACCCCCCTGTCCCAGGCCTGCGGCCTCGCCGTATCCCCTCCTGCGCCGGAGCCCTTACCTGGCGACGTCGCCGCCGCCGCCGTTCTGCTTGCAGGCCCCGCCGCACTGCCCGGGGCCCCTCTTCTGCCGTAGCCGCTCCAAGACCGACAGGCTTTTCCCCTCACAGCTCCCTGGGCGCCATCTTACATTCAACCCCCACAGCCAATAGGTGCCTAATGCTCCTCTCGCGAGATTCTGAGCGGCCGTTCCCGCGAGAACTGGAGGGTGCCTCCCGGCCAGACTTAAAGGGAACGCTTAAGCCGAAGAGGGAGGCCGCGCCTCTGGCTAACGAAGGAGCCAAGCGCTCCCAGAGGGTGGGACCGGCAGCCCCGCCATTGGGCACCTTGGAGTGCGTCACATTAGATTCTGGGCCTGGGCCTAAGAAGAGTTCACATGCAGGGTCGAAAGATGACCCCTTTCGAGGCTTTCTTGCAGGACCCACCTTCAGTCTCCTGCGGCCACCTTCAGCCGCGTAGCTCCATGCGGGGCGGGGCCCAGCCTGACTTCTTGTTTAAGGTGGCCCTTCTTAAAGCCCTAACGTGAGGCTCCACACTCGCGCGGCACCGCACCTGGTGAGCCCCAAATAACTCACATCTAATAGATACCAGTGTCCGGGACCCCTTTCATCGGCTATGAGCAAGTTTGGCGAGCCGCCTTCCGGTCCACCTTAAAGTGGGCCTCGGGTGGCTGGCTGTTTGTATACAGGGACAATGTGGAGGGTGTTAAAGCTGCAGGCGCGGCTTCCCCCCGCCCCTCCCCGCAGCCGGCCATGCCCCAGACCTCAACCTGCCAGCCCTCAGCTTTCTTTACTTGTAGTCCTTTGGCACTTGCTGTGCGAAATCCCGAGTCCTCCAAGATTCCCCTAGAAGGCACTTAGTGGCAGAAACCACTTCTGATTCCCAGCCTATGTCAGAACTCCTGTGTCAGAACTTCCCCAGCCTCACGCAGGCCTGATTACCTTTATTGTCTTTCCTTCAGCACTTCCGCCTCATCTCCCTGTACTCTACACATAGATATACCCAATTATTTGCTGAATGACTAGCAGGGTGCCAAGCTTCTCTTCATCAGCCTGGGCACACAGGTTGATGCAAACCTGGATCCCTCCAGCACAAGGCTCCTAACCACAGAGACCTCTATTCCCTTGGACACTGGTTTCAAAGCCTGTTGGGAAGGAATCCATTCATGGGTGGGGCGAGGGTGCACAGTGCACCCCCATGTGACCATGGCCATCTGATGCTGGCAGGGCAGAGAGATAACACAGACTCTTAGAGACATTAAGCTGCTCTTTATTGACATGGATTCTGGAGTGGTGAGGGTTCTCCCAGTCCCCAGAAGGATGAGGTATGTCCAGATTCCCTGGGCCTCCAGCTCACACCTTCCCTGGGTCCTCCTTCAGTGTGACAGTCCGGTTGAAGACAAGCTGAAGGGCAGAGGGGGAATGAATGATCATCAGCTCAGCTCAGGCCAGAGGTAAAGATAAGTCTTAAGAGATAAAACCTATGCTCTAACCTTAAGGGGAGAAGGGGATTGAGAAGAGGCTTTGTGGCTTTCAGTAAGGGATGAATGGCCCTGGGACTCAGTTTATAACCACCTGTGGACCTGACTCCTTCCTGAGGAATAAGGACAGCAAGACCCATGCACAATTGGAGCCCGTTTCTATCTGAAGTACAATGAACTTCCCTTAGGTGGTGAGGGCATAAAGAAGGAGTGCTGGCACAGTGCAGCCATGACTATCACTGCTGCTAAAAGGGGGAAGGAGATGAAGTCAAGCACCTGTCCTTGGTGGCTGTCTGGATCCACAGAGAAGTACCCAAGTCGTTCAAATTGGAACTTGTCAAAGGGCTTTGCTAGTGCCACAGAACAGTCCACTAATGCTGCTTTCACCACCTGCAGTGATGCCTGTGGACAAGGAACTCAGGTATTCAACTCAGGTTGTCCAGAAGACCCACCTCCCTCAAACTGTACTACATAAGCCTACCGGGTTCAGGTCACTCAGGAATCCACCAGGCACTTCAGCAGGATCCTCAGGGTTCTTGTGCTGGAATCTGCAACCAAAGCCAAGGTCAAACCCCAGCTGCACAGCCACAGTAAGCAATGACCATCTTATACCTGCTTTCTACTCCTGCTATGTTCACTCACAGTCGCTCATAAAGGCGAATCTCACACGTCAACGGCTCGGACACCCAGTGAATGAAGGCCTTGGGCTTCTCGCCAGCATCTGCTCGTCTGCAGGTCACCTCCAGCCTCTCCACACAGCCACTGGGGCCCTGAAAGCAGGAGAAAGTGGGACAAGAAATGGCTGCAGTTAGCACTGGGGTTAATCATAAGAACTGCAGGAACTCTTGTATGTAAGAAGGCTGTTTCCAACCCACACCTTGACAACACACTGCAGCTCAATGACATAGCCTGTGTGTCTCAGGCCCACAGGCTGGCCGGATGCGAGACGCTTATAGCCTGGCTCTGGCTCCTGGAGATAGGAAGTTGGGTGGACACAAAGTCTTCAAGAGTAGAACAGGTTCATCCCTCACCCCCATATCAGACAGGTTGGTTTATCTGAAGCAGAGAACAGAGGTACTGACAGGGGGTCTGAGGAGATGGAAGAGTTGAGCTCAGCGGTGAACAGTTACCTCCTTGAAGTCTGTCCGTTCGATGAAGATGACAGATGCAAAGGGAACCTGATGGAAGCCCTTGGTCTCATCAGCTGGAAAGTTAGGAACCTGGATCTCTAAGGACTATGGCAAAACATGGGCATCTTGAGTTACATCAGGCACCAGGAATCCTAAGACCAGGTCCTGGTGTATCCTCCAGGCCCTCAACACCCTTATACACGCATACACTTTGAGGCAGGCCCACCTTGGCCGCAGGAAAATTGGTGATGATGACCATTAGTGGATCCAGTACAGCCATGGCCCGAGGGGCTGTGTCATTCAGCACATCACGTACACAGGCTTCTAACAAATGTGGCTCCATTGTAGTCTGTGCCACTGTCACCCCCACCTGAGAGGAAAGGTCAGCATCAAGACAGTCGAAACCACAGGATCCCACACTCAACGCCCACCTGAAATCCCAACCCAAGGGCTGTACCCGGGCACAGAAGTTGTTGATGGCCTCAGGTGGGAAGCCTCGCCGCCGGAGGGCTGTCAGTGTGAAGAGCCGTGGGTCATCCCAGTCCCTATGAGTGAGGAGTTGGTGAGAAAGTGTTTGACATGTGCCATCAGCACTATGATGAGTTAAACAGCCACACCTACCGCACAGCGCCAGCTGCCACAAGCTGAAGGATCTTCCTCTTAGACACAACAGCATAGTGTAGGTTGAGACGGCCGTATTCCCACTGCACAGGGCAATAGACATCCAGAGCATTGCAGAGCCAGAAGTAGGAAGAGCGTCTATGGTGGGAAGGTGGGATCAGCACAAGACACTCAAGGACCAGGAAAGACTGATAGCATCCCATAAGTCCTACCCATGTGCCCAGTTCCCTCACCGGGCTTGGAATTCTTTGGTACAGAGTGAATGGGTGATGTGCTCAATGGAGTCACAGAGGCAGTGTGTATAGTCATAGGTGGGGTAGATGCACCTGTGGGTACAAGCATTGGACCAAACCATGAAACCTTGCATGACCCAAGAACCCACCACACCTGGCCACCCTACCCATCCATGCCCACACCAACCAGGCATCCCCTGTGCGGTGATGTGGTGTGTACTTGACACGATATGCTACAGGGTCCATTTTGCCATCTTCCATTTCCAGCTTCATCCGAAGTGTCGCCTCACCTTCTGCAAACTTGCCCTTGCGCATTGCCTGTAGGTAGAGAGGACTCAGGCTGCGGCTAAGCTTCGGTGTGCCCATGCCCATATTCGGCTTCCTGGCCCACCCAGATCCTACTGCACCTGCAGGACCTCACCTCAAACAGCAGCAGTGATTCCTCCACAGGACGATCCCTCCAGGGCGAAGGCAGGGGATTGTGACCTTTGAGTTCTTCCCCTCGCTGGTGGCACACATAAGCCTGGCCCCTGAGAAGGGGAAGAGGTTTGAGATTCCAACCTGGCTGTGCCCTGATCAGTCTCCCTTGATTCCTCAACAAGACCCTAATCTCACCTTCGGATGAGCTCCAAGGCCCAGGTATACAGCTGATCAAAGTAGTCAGAGGCATACGTCACTTTGTAAGGAGTATAACCTAGGGAAGAGTGAGATCCAGTATGGGCAGCCACTAGGGATGCCAGATGGCTAGCCATGCCCCAGAGACAGGCCCAACACCTACAGCCCTGCCCAGTCCATACCCAGCCAGTTCACCATGTCAGAGATGGCAGTGAAGAACTGCGCTTCCTCCTTCTCAGGGTTAGTGTCATCATAGCGCAGAAAACAGATCCCATTATTGGCCTGGAGGAATTGAAGTCTTTGTGAGCTCTTAAATCATAAACCCCTAGTCTAGCTTTCCCAGGTCAGAAACAAAATTCCTTTGAGAGCTTCTCTCATCTTCAAACATCTAAATGCCCCAGACAAGGCATCTCTTTATTAACCTGGAATGATACTATAACCTCTTTGAAGTTATACTGGGCTGAGCAGGGAATTCAGACAAAAGTAAATTACTTCATCTTGGAGCTTTTTCACAATGAATAAAATGGATTCCCAGGCAACAGTGACACATTTGATTTCCCTTCGTGGTCTCTGCTCTTTCTGGCAGCAGGGAAGACAAGGACACTTCTACGGCATCCAGTCATGGCAACAGCATATTGCCACCTTGCATGCCAGCTCCCCAGATACATGCTCACCTTGGCATATCCAAAGTTGAAGTTGATGGCTTTAGCATGGCCAATGTGCAGGATTCCATTGGGCTCTGGGGGAAACCGGGTACGCACCTAAGATAAAGAGATGGGAGTAGAGGAACAAATCCACAGGTCAGACTTCTATAGAAGCAGATGCCTCTTCCCAGGAAGGTTATGGTTGGTAGGTGACTACATAGAACACTATGGAGGTGGTCCAGGTACCCAAATAGGTGCTGATGGTACTAGCTAGTCTGGCCATTTTCATACACACCTGTCCCCCAGTGATCTCCAGGTGCTGCTTCAGTAGATCCATAGTATGTGGGGTGGTCACATAGCCAGGAGTCTTATAGTTTTCACCTGCCAGGACCAGAACCAGAACAAGGGGCAATCAGGCTGCAGCACAAGCTCCGTGTTCCCAAGGTCTTTGCTGCAGGAATTGCTACCAGGGCCAGTCCTGCCCAATGTTTGTACCCGCCCACTCACCAGGCTTATGGAACTTCAGTGCCTCTCCTCGGAGCTGCTCCATCAGGGACAGAGCCTGGCCAGCAGCCACACCTAATGATGAGATCAAGGAAAATTTATCATCTGGACACAGCTGCCAAATCCCTCTAAAAGATACTCTTCGGTATCATCAATATGCTGCAGCCAGAACAAAACTGAGCAGATCCCTCTTTCTTTGATCTCTGAGACACAAGACAGAGAGGCAGACTTGTGGCTTTTTCAGGCTACTCTTTCAGCAAAGGGAGTAAACACTCAGAATTCCAGGCTTGAGGCAGAAGGCAAGTAGGCGTTTATCAAGCCAAGGGCCAGAGGATAGTGGGCTGAGAACCCACAAGACAAGGCCCAAAACTCAAATTGTTACATATCATAAGTTCCTCAAGCCCCTTACCATTCTCCACCACATCCTTTGCTTTCCTCCGGTCTGTTTCTTCTGGCCGAGTCTTCACAACCTAAGGGAAGTCCAAAAGTGGACTCAAGATATTTCCTGGGAAATGTTTGTGATCCCAGAGTCCCTTTACCAGCCTAGAAGTCTCACTAAACTCCAGCACAACCAAGGATTCAAGGCTATACCCAGTCCTACCTTGGATTTCTTTTCCAGATCAGATTCCATCTTGGGACCCAGAAGGTGGAGGACCTGAGTAATGATTAAATCAGACCTGAGACAGAAGTATACTCTTTCAAGGAGCTCGTGACTGATCTGCCCACTCACCCACGGATTTCATCACCTGCCTATGAGCTTTAAGTTCTATGAGATCCTGCTTAGCCCCTCTCATAATGGTTCAGTTGGTTTCTAATGTTTTCTAACATATGAGAATATATACTAGACCTGCTACATTTACAGTATACAACATACAGTAACAAGAACTTCCATTAACAGTATGGCTAGAACTATATATAAATTATACAATTTTTATATGATATATATTATATATAAATAATGAAATGTGCAAGGAGTTGGAGTCAGAAAACCAAAAGGGCCGAACTAGCTCAGCATTTCTTAAGCTCAAGGAACTGAAGAACAAATTCAAACCTCGAGTTGCTATAATCAAGGATGCTTTCGGCAGAATGTTAAATGATCCAGGA